AATAAAGCCAAATGAAAATTTTATGCACTTGAAAAATGGTTAAATTCACCTTGCCTATTCCTTTCCTTCAAAAACTAATTTGGAATTAGTTAAGTGTTTAAGGAAACTTATTGAAACTTAAACAAAAATAAATAACATACCAATAGGCAAATTGCACTAACACCGTAAAATAATATAGCGGAATATTGTGACATTCCAGCAAAAAAATTAAAAAAGCTTTTGCCGACCGGAATGAAAAGAATTAAAGTTGCACAATAAAAAAATTGTAAAAGCAAAGCATAAAATGGGGTATTATATTTGTTGTTCTGCCAATCAAATAATATGTCGGATATTCTTGGTATAAATCCATATTTAGCGGTGTATGTTATAGCTCGAGAGCCCCTATTCAAAAGATATGACATTAAAAAATGTATAAAATATTTAATTAATTGTATAACATAAATTTTTAATAATCTTACATAAAAACCATTGAACCCACACAACCAAAAGCAGAAAATGAGATAAGTATTGAAATAGCTATTTTCCCGGAATCGCCCCATAATGTACGTCCAAAATTGATAGCAATAACATCATAAGAGTTAATAGCATCATGAGGTGAGACCACTGATATAAAGGCAGCATTAGTTATAAAGTCTATAATAAAAATATAAATGTAGTATAAATACTGTTAGAATATAATGAATTAAATAAATTAGTTATATAAAATATATATATAACATACAAAGTATAAAAGAAACAATCACACTCGAAATGATTGGAACTTTTATTTTTTTTTCTGGAGACTCCAATTCCTCAGTTAAATCTAAAAAAGTATTTATAATTAATCAAATTTACTCATATTTTTGATATTATAGTCTAATGAATTATCTTACAATTTATATTATTCCACCCTTTGAATATGCAATATTAAACACCTAATTAGTATTAGTTTATTTAAAATCAAATGGCTACCGATATTCCTCCGACAAATAAGCACACTTTCTTGCCAATCATACTGACTGAAATTATTGCCAAAGCAGGCAAAATTGGCCAGGGAGTTATTGCCTTGGATGCTTATCTTCGGAAGAATATAGCAAATGCTCAAAAACTATATTGCACACCTTCATATGCAAATAGGACCTATGTTTGAATTTCACGTAAGTTTTTGAGTAAAAAAAAAATTGAAGATATTATATATTATACGTACCAAGACTATAGCATTGCCATAATTTCCAATGTATTCTATAATAGACAGCTCATATGCTTCGTCTGATGGCGTATTATTAAAAGTCCATTGATCTTTGGCATTTTTTCGTGACCATATTAAGCCATATATCGAAACGAAAAATATGGCAATAGACTTAAACAAGGCAAATGCCCTATTAATGTGGATTGCAAATGGATTGGAGAACATATGATACATAGTGACACACAATAAAAAAGCGACAGCTAAAAGCCGCAACGGTCTAATGTATAAATGTAAAATTAGATTAATGTAGCGGTGAAATAATTCAGAACTGAAAAAACTTAACCTACATAGAATCTACATATACATCCTCATTTTCATAGTTTCCTTTTATAGCATATAGAAGGTATTTGGCGCATGCATAGGAATCAGCAATAATTGCCCCGGGAAGGATTACACTTTTAAAAAAATTGGATTATTATTATTACGTATAAATTTTAAAAAATTGCAGATCTGCTTAAAACCACATCCAAATTTAAGTATCAATAATGCAATAATTATAGGTCAAAAAAATGGTAGGGGACATGCTTTTATGGCACATTTGTGCAATTTAAGCATTGACTAGATTAAAATATGAGTTGTTTGCTTTTTTTTTTTTGATATTTCTTATTGTCAAATCATCGAGATAACGTCTAACCCATCTCTGTGAAAGATGGGGTTAGATGTTATGCATATAACTTTATAATAAGAAAAAAAAAAGAAAGTAAATTACGCACTGTCAATACTTGAATTCTTATGCGCCATAATACTGGATCTTATGGTAGTAATCCTTTAAACTAGCATTAAACTAATTGTGTCACATTCTAGTTTAGAATTGACCGTAAAATCTAGACACAACATAACCCCGATATAAATCTACCAAAAAGTTCACAACATTTCAAAAAAAAATCAGTATTCAGAACACTAATATCTTTGACATTGGCATCATAAATATTAGTCTTATAATAATCGCTAGGTTAAACTGCAGTATAGGCTGGCAAGTCCAACAATGGTTACGTGCATATATGAAATAATTACAGTATACCCTTTACTGAAATCCACCCAGTCATGCTAATCACTGGTAAAAAAAAAATTATATTTTAACTAAATAATAACCAGTAAAATATTGTACAAATATTAACTTATTTACTAGGTAATATATGTATTTAACATATTGACTAAAAATATATTAAACGGCAAATATTACCTAGTAAATATGTAGTAAATAAGTTAATATTTGTACTATTTATTACTGGTTATTATTTAGCTAAAATATAATTTTTTTACCAGTGAATGTTAATAAAATTTATCTGTCTGAATTTCTGTTTCAAGCTTCTAAAAGTTGTGATTGAAAATATCGGGATTTTTGGATGATCTTTGTTAAGGACTTCGTACATACGTGATCAAAACAAAACTGAATATATGTCCAGGTCTATTCTTTACATTAAACGCCTCTTCAAGATATTTTTGTTCCCCCGATCCTTTAGGACATCTAGCTCCTAACTATAAGGTTGAAATAAATATTCAATAATATACATGGCAATAATGGTGATAGCAACATACAAGCGATATTATTTTAATTGCCAATGACCTCAACATAAATAAAGCTACCAAGTAAGCTTATAATTGCACCAGCAATCCAAAACACTAAAGCAAGTCCGGGCGATAGTGCTAGTCTCCATACGCTGCTAGGGGTTATAAAAATTCCTTATAAAATATAAAAAAATAATGAGCTTCACCGCTTAAAATTAATATTATTAACTTTGAAAAAAAATACCCGCTCCAATTATATGATTAATATTAAATTCAAATCCTGAAATTCTATTAATTATTTCCACCCTTGGTTGTTCTCTTACAGTCGGAACATCCTCTCCAACTCTTACGTTTTCTTGGACATTATCACCCATAACTGAAATATTATTTTCTATTTCTCTTCCTACAATTTCCTTATATAACTTAAGTGCTTTATACACTCAATTCTTTATAATAAATTTTTTATGGTGAATATATTCTATTATTCTATTACCAACTTTTCAAATATCGAAATTAGTAAATTATTTTATATTGAATTTGAAAACTTCCAGTATACGAATCTCCAGTCTAAAGCTTATACAAATATTCATATGGCAAAGGACAAAATTAATCCTGTCAGACAAACCTTGGACGTTCTACATAAGGAAAAAATTATGGTTATAAATCACCAGGGTTTCTCATTTCTTACCCAATTTATTATGTAAATGGCAATTATTTTTTACACAATATATATTTTGAAGAAATTTTGTACAAGTTCTGTCACGTGGTTGCACAATATATTATGACAAAGGTTATCTAATTAAGAAATTGCTCGGTTATCTGTTATATGTCATGCAGTACGTACGAACGTACGTACGTACGTACGTACAGAACACAACGTTTCACTAACAAAAAATCGCGTTCACCACGCAAGCCTCAAAACTGACGAACTTTTCTTAAGAAGACAAAATATACTTTCGTCTATGTTATACTGTAGAGTAAGTGACGGGAATGTTTTTTGCTTATTCTCTATTACGTTAAATCTAAATGAACTTTATTACTAATTAGTAACAAAAGACCTGGGTTTAATGTTTGTTTATATTTGGTATGTTTTTGTAGTTTGGTTTATATATTGTGTAAATTTTTGATAATGTAACAAAATAAAATTTTAGTTTCTTTATTTTTGTTCTAAACTTATATTAGTCGGTAACTTTTCTGCTTGTATATAATTTATTTGTATTACCCCATCCATTTTGGTAGCAATGTCCAATTTTAAAGATTTATTAATTTCTTTTGATTATTTCATAACTTATATTAAAATGGTAATGGTGGATTGGCTTGGTGGCTTAATCATATGAATGTTACCCAAGGTGCGTAAAACGCGACTAGCCGTTTGAACCTGTTACAATAGGCTACTTGCATAATCACAAGGAAAGCTTAGAGAATGGGGAGTAAATATCCCAGGGCTAAGTGGACGTAGCCAAGGTTGCGTAGACGTAGCAAAAGTAGTGTAAACGTAACGAAAGGTGTGTGTGAACGTAGCCAAAATTGAAAATGTATTTAAAGACCTAAAGTTCAAGGCAATAGAGATTAGAATTTTTTAGTTCTATTTGATGATTAAATAAAGAATACCATCCCATCCTTAAATAATTCGTTTCGTTTTCGCTTGAATAAAGTATATAATTATCTGAACATTCCCATATGAATTGTCTTTTGAATTCGACTTGTAACTTTAATAAACCCAATTCGACGGACTGAATTGACTTGTAACTTCGATTTGGCTTATTAAGACTCGGATTCTAGAACGGTTGTGGAATTAGATATTGCCATTCACATTAGTGATTTGCGAGAATTGTGGTAGAGAACTTAGATCGGTTACTAAACTTGGTTAATCCCTCATGTGTCCTTAAAGTTATCGCTGATATCACTTGATTATCGTCCGCTTCTACCTCACCATACTTATTGAGATATCCCTAACAGCATCACCTGTAGTTTCATCACACATTATCACCCCTATTCATATTAAAGCCTTCGTTTCATAGTGTCACATTATCTCAATAGACCTCCGACAGTTATATGACTTCCTTCATTTCTCCAGGTTTATCTTTATCTCCCCGTATACCGTTGGAGTTAAATTGGACTTTATCTCATATTATTTCTATAAGCTTTCACATCAATGGCATCAATGGTTACAAAAATGCGAATTTATTATCGTGCTTTTCAAATTACTGTGATCCGCCAATCAAACGAAATTCTTAAAATTTCTTTAAGCTCTTAATTTTTTTAAAAAATTATCATAAAAATTACAATTCCAAAGATTTTTAAATCATTTTTTAAAAATTATCAAACAAAAATAATTCCAAAGATTTCTTGTCAAATTCCAATTCTTTAGTACAAATCCATTAGTGTACTAGATCTTGTTTTGTTTAGCCAAGTGGTTATAAAAATTTCCAGTTTTCTTTTTAAATTTAGATCGCTAGTGTTGAAAATTAAAATTGGTCAAATTAATTAATAAATAAGGTAGCTGCGAGATGCCGTCGCACTAAAAGCTAGGAACGTAAACAATAATATTCTAAGAATGGAGTGATATTAAAAATTTAACGAAGTGTATGGTTTTATCGCAAATTAATTGGTGTGTGTCCGCAAAATCCTGCATTTTATTTGATAATATATGTGGCAAAGTGGGGATATTAGGCATTTCACACGTAGTACCATCACAGGGCATATGTAATGCTTTCTTCTGTATACAGGCAACTTCTGCGCACGATTTGATCCGCACTTGAATTCATATGAATCCATATTTACTGTATTTCTCATGATCTATTTCACAATTAAGCCTTAAAATTCTTATATTCAAATGTTGTAACAAATGATAGTAAAAGCATGATTTCCAGGCATAAATATTGGTGGCTCGATTTAAATTTTCATATCTATTCATGGGATATTTGGCATTTTTCATTTTTCAATATAGGATTTATTATTATTATCACTGATTAGAGTTTGGAAACCGGTTTTAACATATGAAAAATAAATAACATTTCATAAATTCGTAAATACGACATTAGTGCCCACGACCTGATTGATACATAAATATTTCTCCAATTGTTTCAATAAGTGTAGTGACATGTTATTATGTTTACGTATCTTATTATTCGTATTGATTTTAATCAATGCAGATAATTTCTCTTTATGTTGATCAATCGAATTATTCAAAGATAAGTTAACACTTAATTTGTTTACATTCAATTTTTTGTATTTATTGAATTGCTATTTCAACGGTTATTCAAAGGTAAGCTGACACTTATTTTATGACACCGAGGGTAATCAGCATTACAGAAGTTCTATTTATGCACCTATGTTACACAAGATTTATTAAAAGACTAGTGCGATGGGTGGCGCGTAAGCGCCACCTATCTTATTCAATATGTATAATTACCCTCTGCCATATAATCTATTCGAAGTACAAATTAATTACTATGTGTAATTTAAGCACTATATGGCAAGTATGAAGATTAATAGATTATTTAAATACTTTAATTATCAAGAGGTTTCAGAAAAAAATATGGCATACTCTGGAAATGAACAGGAGTGCTAAAAAATTGTGTTTTACAATTTTGAAATCAGAAATGAATACATTGCCTATTTGAAAAGTAAATACATTATCTATTTTTATCTACATCAGATTTCAGATTGTTAATTATGAAACCCTCATTTACTACCAGTTACATCAATTTTAATGAGCAGTAAATAGATGATAAATAATTGGCACAGATAATGAGTAATGTATTTTTTGATTTAGTTTGGTCAACACCTATGAATCTGTAGGTAGCCACCTTATGTTTGTTGTATTTTGTAAATTTATTTATCAATAAAAATATGAATTAAAATGAATTTCATGAAATATGAAGAAGTTGAAGTGATTACAATTTTATACCACAGGACTCAAAAATTACAAAGGATGTTAATTCAATTTAATTGAAGAGAACAATAAGTTAGTGATTGCAAACTTCTAGAGTAATGAACATCACACCAAAATCGATTGTGATTGTGATGAAAATAATTACTTCTACTATATTAAAATTACTTTGGAATTGAGTTCAAATTAATTATTTTAGTTATTGGTTAGGACTCATCTCAATCAGCTTGATGCATTTACATCTAATAGAAGTATTAATTGTGAAGCTTTTATTATATATAAAGGCATCAAACAATCTTTTTGATAAGTTCTAACTAATCCCTAAAATGATCAATCAGAACTCAATTCCAAAGAATTTTTGATAGAATAGAAGCACTTATTTTTGTTACAATCACAATTGATTATTGTCAAATGATCATTGTATTTACTAGTTAAGTAAATCGATTTAAATATCATCAATTATATCAGCATAAATAAGTGATAAATTTAATTTCAAATGTCTTGATTAGTAAATAATTATTATAGTCACTGGTTTGAATTAAATAAAAATAAGAACTAATGATTTACATAGACAAAAGGAAATGAGTATTATTAATAAATGATAGTTAGACTTGCCAGTTAAACACCTTGGTTGAAAAAGAACTAATGTAAATATTAAGAATATACTTCAATTAATAAATAATTTTGTTTTGTCTCATTTTGAAATAAACTATTACTATGAAGAAATATACAGATATTTTCTTTCTACTATCAAGCAACCTACACAATTGTTTATAAAATTGTGCAATGCTCTTTTTTCTCATTTTTTATTTTCTTTTGTATTAAGACTGTCATTCTGACAGGTCATAAATTATCATGATTTTGTGACTGTTGTCTCAACAGGTCACAATTTAACAGATTCTACCTATTTATAACTGCTGTCCTGGCAGGCTACAAAAATTATGTGTTGCTCTAACATGGAGGGATCGATATTACTAAAAAGAAAGTCAGGTTCGCAAAAAAGACGAAGTTAATTCTCATTATTTTTTTATTTACTTACTAAATATACTATGATCCAATTACCTCATTATTAATTAGTTACTTCACTAAGAGTAATCACTCTAACTATACTTTCATCAATGATCGTATTACTAATTACCTGATTACCTAATATTTACATTTTATCAGTCAACCGATTAATCAAACATGTAATCATAACCAGTCTGTCATATGTTCGATCAGATGGCACATGATTTGAGACAAAAGCTGTCTTGATACTTATATATTGAGCAGCTATTGTTATATTCATAATGATAATAATAAATAATAAGTAACCAATTAATTAAATCATCACAATAATATCTGTAATTAGTCGTTACAAATATATGACATAGGAATAATAATCGTCAACTATGCTCAATCAAAATCATTAAAGTGTACAACTCCAAAATTATAATTAAAGATATCAATATCAATTAATATGAAATACAAAGCATATAT